CATATATATATATATATATATATATATGTGTGTGTGTGTATATATGAAAAAAAATTATAAAGGTGTTAATGAAATTTGAACTTAAGTTATTATTTATTTATCTTGATCTAAGTTATTAAATGAATTTTAATGAGTAAAACAAAGTATTTCGTTAACATAAAGATCAACAAAAATTACATCATTAAAATAATGGAGACATCAAAATTGAAATTTTTTTAAAAATATGGGAAGCAAAAGTAAATTAAACCTAAAAAGTTTTTATTTCAAAAGTATAGACACACAAATTGTCCAAATACAATTGCAAATTAGATAAAAACACAATAGAAAGGAAAAGAAAAAAAGTGTAGCTAAATGTTGTGTATGTGCAAAAAAATATGTTCAACACAACTAAATACAAATTGTCAACAAAAATGAACTAAGTTGGGTTGGACTCTTCTTGAAATTGAGTTGAAAATTTCATTCTAATTTATACAAATTGTCATAAAAAAAAATGAGCCAAGTGGAGTTAGACTTTTTTGAAATTGAGTTGAAAAATTCGTTCCAATCTATTTTGGTGGGTAATTATTTGATTTAGATTGACCCACTAAAATTAAAAATAAAACAAATAATTTAAAGATAAGCATAATATCCCAATCACAATAATCTTTTCATATTTGTCTTCTCACAAATGTTTTCTTTTATAAAAAAAAATTATTATTGTAAGCTTAGTTGATTTTGTCACAATTTTTTTTTAAAAACATCACACATGACATATAAAGTAATAAGATAACATAAAATTTGTAATAATTCATATAATATTATATTGAATAAAATAATATTTATCTTAACAAATTAAAATGTTAAAAAAATCTTTTCACATCTCAATTCAATTCAATCTAATTTTATCCTGTCAAATTGTCCATCTAAGTATATATTTATGATGGAAATCAAGTTTAACTTCAAACTACTAAATGTGATTTTATATTTGATTTCATTAAATGTAACAAAAGTTATGAGTGAATATCTTTTCAACATGTAATGAAAAGTGAGAAATTCAACTTCAACTTAAAGGAAAATGAATTTTCCAAATTTTCCAAATTGTCATTCAACTTTCAAAACTTCATATTTTACCGCTTAACTTTTAAAATTTCGCTCATTTTATCACTTAACTTTGAAAATTTCACTCATTTTACCACTCCATTAGTTGATTGTTTGACACTAATTGACCATTAATTGATATGTTGATTATTAATGTAACACATTAACTACTAACATAAATTATTGATATGATATATGAATATTATTGTGACATAATGTATTACAACAATGTCACATACGTTAAACATATCACATGATCAGTCAGACAAACAACCACTTAACAAGACAATAAAATGTGTAAAAATTCAAAAATTATGTGACAAAATGAATAATTTCAAAAGTTAAGTAATAAAATTTGGACTTAAATATGTTCAAACCACCTCCAATTAGGTCAATTTTTAAATTACTACCTATTAAACTTTTTTATTTTAAATACCTGACTAATTTTTTTTTCAATTTAGTATTTGACATTAGTCCTCTTCTGTTAAGTGATGACGTGACTGACAGACTATCACATCATTATCTAACAATATCTGCCATATCATTTAAATGTCCACCTCACTCTCCACGTCAGATTTTAGTTTTTTTTTAAAAAAAAATCATTTTGCAGTTTAGGTTTTAGGGTTTGGTGGATGTGTGGGTGGTTGTGGTGGAGGAGGTGGAACAAGAGGGTTTCATGGTTGAGATTGATAGATGGAATGTTGACTCTACTAGGTTGGATTTCTTGCTTCATATAGGCTCTCCTATAGAAGATCGTTTGAAGAGGGCTTGGAGAGGGGACTTTGGCTAACCCAACCCGCCTACCTCAAAAATGGATGGGTGGGGAGAGGGTCTTAGCCGGATCATGGTGGAAGCTTTCCTTGGTTGAGCTGTAAACTTCTTGTCACTAGTAATGAAGGAAGGGAGAGTGCTCTTACCTTCCCACCACCCGCAGGCCTTCCTTTTATAGAAGGGCTTTGGCAGGGAATCGTAGCATGGGAGAATATCTAATCCTTTTGCAGTTGCAAGGCTAGCTAATTGTATGCAGCTGGCTCGAATACCCCTTGTTCTAGAAGGCACATGAGTCCAAATTTTATGTTGAATGTGCGACAAAGAAGGGTGTAAAGGTGGGGAGGTTGTAGAAGGTGATGGAAGGGAGGGTGGTGGAGATGTAGTTAGAAGTGGAGAATGTGGCGTAAGGTGGTGTGGTGATGAAGATGTGAAGAGAGTGGAATGGTTGGTGAGTGTGGTGCTAGGTAGAAAACTATTCCCTCCTTCACACAAAAAATTTCATTTGGCCAATGACAAGGATAATGAGTTAGACGTTTAGATAATATAACAGACACCTTTAAATAATATAACAGACACGTTTAAATAATGACGTGACAGTCCATCAATCACGTCATCATTTAATAAAAGGAGACTAATATCAAGTACTAAATTAAAGAGAAAAAAATTAGTCAAATATTTAAAATAAAAAAAATTAATAAATAATATTCTGAAAATTAACTTAATTGAAGGTAGTTTAAACATATTTAAGTCTAAAATTTGTAACTAAAAGCCAAAATACTTTTGCAACCAATTTAATTTTCCACAAATCAATGCTATCGACGAAAGAATTTTGTTAATATAATAGCTTTAATATCTTCGTTAGTTAAAGATGAAAACTAGAAAATAACTTGGAATATAAATTTACTCATCAATCCATGTTCATCATCATCATTTATTGACCGGTGAGTTTTTAATTTCCAAGTATATCCTGGGATGGATTTGAGGTCTTACCGATTGGTAGTTATCCAGAAAACCTGAATATTTGTTCCATGTTTAGATTTCTTATCCTGCTACTTGTAACCGCCGCTCAGTTAACCCATATACCATACGTCATCAGGTACGTGAAAGAAAAAATATATGCAATAACGACAACACTAAATCATAGAAAAAAAATTTCTTTATTCGAATTTAAGAGTACATACATGTAAAGCATACAATTTGTGCTCCAACAACTGGCACTGTCACTCTCATCCTCTCACTGACAAGTAATGAAGGAATATTTTATTGAGAACCTAGATCCTAAAAATAATAGAGGACCCGCCGGAACAACAAAGCCTAGGTCCAGATGGTAAATTACAAAATGTGTGATTCTTTCTATCTAAATGGGTACAGATCAAGGGTCTATATACATTAAAAAATCTGTTCACCAGCAAAATTGGACGACTCCAATATGCAAACATATCCATATGGAGCCAGAGCACAGGGATTAATGTACCCTTCCGCCTAATACCACAAAATAACCGCGAGTAGAAACAATATAAAAGGTGCAGTTTCAACACCTCACCAATTATGCAACTGAGAAGTAATGCTTTTTTCAACAGGATGATATTGTGTGTGCATGTATCTCCTAGCTTTCACAGAACCAGGCTGCTCAAGCCACTTGTCATATAAGCCTTTAATAATGGGATTGTCAAATGGTGATGCTACCAAAACCTAGCATGTAAAGAAACATAATCAATCCCTAATTAAAATTCTGATCGCATAAGGAAGAAAAACAGAAAAACAAACTCCTCCAAGACTACTCACAAACTAACATGCTTGAAGTAAGAAAAAATTATTATTTTTATATTTAACCAGGAAAACAAAAGTTTTAATATCCAAAAGTTTGTGCAAAATAACAAAGGAGGTAAAATCACAAATGATAAATTGTTTGTAGTGCCCAGGTAGGCAATGTTCAGACTTTCGATGCTCCCATTAATGCTATAGACAGACACTTATGCATCCTCATGAAAGACAAACTTGTAGAGAAAAAGAGTGTAACTTAAAATACTAGCTTGTCTGATATAATACTTACATTTTCCATGTAAATCGATTCTAACAATTGACTCAGTTCTTTAGGAGATTGCCCTGAATTTGGTTTAATTTGACCTCCCCCATTTAAGCAACCTGCATCAATGAGCATGCTTTTTCAGCTCAATACCTAGCAATTTTACGACCCCCATGAAAAAAAAATTGAAAACAAAAAAAATTAACAAATAAATAAAATTTTTAATAAAGGAAAAAACATGGTACCTGATGGGCATGCCATGATTTCTAGGAAATGATAATCACATTTCCCAGTTTTAAGTTTCCGTACAATGTTCTGCAGGTTCCGGAAACCATAACAGAGAGCAAATTTCAACACAGTTTTTCCCTCCACCTGCACAGACAACATGATGTAGAACGGTAAGCAAGAGCACTCCTCTTGGCTTTGGCAGGGAACTCCCTTAATTAGGATTCACAAACTCTCCAAAGAAAACAAAATATCAACTATAAAGATCTATCACTACGCAAAAAGTGACTCAACTGTAATACGAATTATTTATTTATAGACCCAACAAAAGCAAAAAATCCTAATGGATAACCCGATTTTGAGCCAGAATGAGATAATTCAAAATAACAAATAACAATCAATAATCCCAAATCAAAAAGACCTAATTTTGAAATTAAAATCCAGATGAAATAACAAAACTAATATCCCATTCTTTCTACATATATAGCAAGGCATTATATAATATATACCCAAATAAACAAACCATAGCTATACAAGGCACAACAAACCCCAAAGTTATCTCTCGAGTTAATATATAATTTTGTCCCTAAAAGTGGTAACTTATGTTGGTTTGTTCCTTGAAGAGGCTCTATGCTTGCTGAAATTTTATCTTAACAAATTGACAATGTCTAAACAATTTCATCCCTCAGATGACTAATTTGCACGGATGAAAGCAACATAAATTGCAAGATGAAAGCAAAGATTGTTGTTGGAGGGGTACTCATGGACACTTTATTCATGAATGAATGACAACTTCAAAGAAATAATAAGAAAATAAATAACATTCATCACAACCAGAAACTGTGTTGGAAATTTATGTAATCTAGAAATGGCTATTAAAAACTACTAATTGTCCAATTTGTTATAATGCATAATTAAATACTCAACATTTTATAGTTAGATATTTGTATACCCTAGATACCGATAACAACCTTTCTCAAAAGCATAAAAATAATATTAGAAAGTTCTCAAGAACTTGCCTCCAAAGTAACTTCCTGAAAATCTGAATTCTTGATGTTTCTAAAGGTCAAAGGGTCATCAATCTGTCTTCCAAAAAGTGTTTTAGCAGCATGGCGGAAAATTGTTTCTGCATAACCTCCAGAGCTTCCATGGACCCCATAAAGGGATCCTTCTTCATTAATATTTGTTAGCCTGCAAGCACCACATTACATCTGAACATCATTGTTTGACAAGCACATGAAATTAAATAATACAAGCAAAAATTAGTTTCATACATTTTGTCCAGAGGAGTCTCTTCTAGGCATTTAAAATCAACTTCTTTGGACTGTAAGATTGAGCCCAAACATATATGAGTATACATATCATTAGTTAACTTAAAAGTGAAAAAAAAAATGATAAATTAAGAGGGAATGCATCAAACTGATAACCTGAATCAATTCCAAAACTTCTCCAGTTGTCAATACTGAATCTACCTCTGAAATCATGTTAATGTCACTCTCATTCCCATCAACATGGGACTCAAATTGGAAAACAAAGTCATCCCTAGCAGCCTCTAGCTTTTTATCATAACAAGGCATCACGGTAACATGGTAAACTTCTTCTGGCCTGTTAAAACAATCATCAAGTGTTTTACTATACATATAACTCTGGAAATTGAATCATGCCAAAATACACCATATGACTAACAATTGAGGCAGCATAATCACCAAAAGATTAGGTGAACTCCCTAAACTGTAGGGTAAATGTTGTGTCTTTCCATCTCAAATTATAATTTAGAGTTAATACTTAATACGCAACCTGAGTCCTATTTCTTGGCACAAATAGTTCTTTATGATAGCTCCGACTGTTTGTTGTGGACTCTTTACTGATGAAATATAAGGTAGAGCAAATGATCCAAGTTGCTTTTCTGCATAGCATATCCAACCTGAACATAGATGTTAACATCAATAAGACAATAACCAGAACCTATTCTGCACATTGAAAAGTAATTCTGCTCCCCAACGCCCAACCCTATATTTATAACTCAAAAGATGAAATAGTATGAAGCAATCACAACAGAAATAAGGAACCATGTTAGTCAGGAACACAGATCACAGTAAATACAACATCCTAATTCCAGCTTACATTCCTACTTCAAAAGTCAGGATATATATATATACACACACACACACACACATATGACGAGGTGATGATGCAACAATTCATACAACAATTTATACATTTTTGTGGCTATCTCTCTCCACCCTATCATTTATTACATATTTACATATCACACTGTTCTCTCTTTCTCTATCTGTTATAAAATTTGTTGTACAGTATCATTTCCTTATATACATATAAAACCAACATTTTTCAAGATCTTCTACAAAAGTTCAACTTCAAATATGCCCCCATACACATGTGCTTAATGATAGCTTAATATGTATGTAATTTTTAATGCACTTCACTTAGTCGTGTCCTTACATTTAGGATTTTGCTGGGTCATTACTCGTGTGACAAGTCATGTCCAGCAACCAAGTCTATGTGCTTCAAAGACACTATTTTCCTATAATATGATATTGATAAGTTTAAGTTCTATACCTGGGCATGCTGATGCAATCATAGGTAGGTTTGACTTACTCCTCTCATCATCAACCAATTGATTCTGTCTATACCTTGTGATGAACTCCACACAAGATTCGACAAGGGTCAAATCTCTACTGCAACTTGTATCAAAAATTGCCTTCACTCCCAAGGATTTAAAAAATCTTGTCAGCTTTTTGAAAGCCTGTAATGCCAAGAGTTTTACTGTTAGCCAGGGGAGAACAAGAAGGTTGGAATTTTTCCCAAAATTATTTCAAGTGAGAACCTTATAAAAATATTTTAAAAAATAGGGTTAATAATCTTTTAATCACTGTAAAATTATCGCACATTGGTTTTGGTCCCTACAGTTTTTTTATGATTCTCATCCCTGTAAATTCTGAAATCACCATATTTAGTCCCTTCTGTTAACAAGACTCTGTTAAGTGTTGACAAGACTAGTGAAAATCTTCCCAATTGGAATATAGCAAAACATGCAGCCACACACTTGCCACCTCAAGTTGATTTTTTTCAAAAAAATTCCTCAAATCACAAAAACAAATGTGTAGACTTTGTTCATTGCACATATTTTCATTGTTTTACTTTCACCCTAGGGAGACCATTCATCCCTTGCACTCCGTTTTGATGCAACCCAGAGTCCCATTTCATCACATGAGAGATGGAGGCAGTGCACATGTGTTAGCCTGAGAAAGTTGTGAAGGTCCCCTGGCTGCAGTATGTGCATGTTAAAACAAGGTAAGGTACATGTTTCTATTTTTTGGGCTTTCTATTTTATTCCATTCCATGAGTACCATGTGGAGACTAGGTTTTTCTTCTGTTATATCACCTTAACTCCCAAACCCTATTATATATTTATTTTTCCTATTCTCTGTGTGAGAGGTTGAATTTATATATGACAATAGGATTCTATACATGAGAGAGCTAGAAGCTAGGTGAAGTTAGAGACATTCCATAATGGGATAATGAGCTAGGCATAGTTCTTGAGCAGATGGGAAATTGGAAAGTGTATTGACCTATGGGTGGTTCATGTTTGTCCAGATACAAGATGAACTCGACATTATTTAATTAACTATATTTTGTATTATTTAATTATTTTCCTATTCTGTGTGAGAGGTTGAACTTAAAAACTAACTCAACTTATTTATGTGTAGCCATTAGTGTAGTAAGTATCATACAATACACGATACGTGTTACACAATACGATGCAATTTATGGACCCATCAATAAATTTATGATAAATTTTAATATTATTTTATTATAACATTTTAATAGAAATCAAGCATCTCAGCTCCTAGACTTGTGAATTTTAGTTATTAATAATGAATATGTATTTTAATATGTCTTTGTTAATTGTGTATGTTATGTTTTATTATTGATCATGAATCTTACGTTTCACGATATAATTTGATTCATGATTCATAAAATAGGTTTTCCGATACATAATTTGTATCTTGATTCAACTCCCATGGTAGCCATGTCATTTTCTGTGGAATTCCATCATATGGGGTTATTTATAATGACCCAAGACCCATTATGAAAGGGGACAAGTTCAATTTGTGCATAGCCGGATGTGTTTAGGTGGAAAGATGTGCTTGGAGATTCCAACTTCCAAGAATGTCAAACTGGCGGAAAACTAAGGAATCAAGTTTTGAAGTGGAAAGCATCAGCAAATGAGAGCAACCACCAACAAAACAATATGATGGCTCCCCAATCCAGTGAAGTAATTTTCCATCAGGTGTCGAAGGCATGCCCATTTGGATGGTCACCCTTTTTGACCAAACAGGATCACAGCAACCCAATTTTCTTCAGGTGCCTTATAGTTTCATTAGTCTAAATTCTAAAGGTGTAGTTAAATTTTCAACGGTAATAAAGAAGTTCCTGTTCCATGATCCATGAACATTTAAAAGAGAGGTAGTTAAGCTATTTCAGAACATAGAGATTGAACATGTCAATTTTTATAACTTGAGAGTGTTAATCATAATCTCTCTAAATTCATAATTAATTCAATTTTTTGTTGAAGACAATCAATTACATACTTTGTCAATTAGCCAGAAATCATCATCTCAATGGTCAGACAACGGCCAATATAGAAGGGGAGAATGAGATGGTAATGTAGGTTTTTACAGAATAGCAACAAAGGTAAGAGGGCGACACAAAGCATAGGAGATGGGAGAAGGAGAAATGGTGTGTGATTCTTGCATCACAGAAAAAAGATGCAGCACATAGAGTGGATGGGTGAGAATCAAACAAGTGAAACAGAATCAGATTATGAAGGGGGAAAGAGAGAGAGAGGTGCAGGCAACTATGGTTACCGACTTACCATGATTCAATATAAGGGGAAACATGGGGAGGCTTTCTTATCATCAAAACTTTTAGTGAAAATGAAGGAAAACCCACCGTTGTGAGTGGAAAGTTTTTTGGTTCAGCAAAAATTGTTGGAAGAGTGAGGTGGAGAGTTCCATGTGTGTGATATTATATGCCAAATAGAAATGCATATATGGACTTCTGTTAGCCACTTCAGCACTTAACAAAAGCTCGTTAACAAGGACTTAATGTAGTGATTTTAGATTTTGGAGGGATGAAAACCATAAAAAATAATTACAAAAACATATTTAACCCAAAAGTATTATGAGCAAAGCAAAAGTGCCACCTGAATTGGAGAGATGCCAAAATGTGCAGCAATAGAAGTCCTTGACTGGGGAGAAAGAGACACAATCACAGCCTTTCCTGAATTAATGTTGTTCAGAAACTCATCCAAACTTTGCTTTTCCAGCATAACCGTCTCTGCTGATGTGACACATCCACTGCAATACCAGAAATAAATCATAATTCCAAAGAAACTTGCACTTTGACATTATCAACTACACAGACTTGAGAAACACGATCCATGTAAAAAAAATTAATGAAACATTTATGGGTTCTTAGATATTAAAGCTTTAAGCAAGCTTCCTTTCTGTTAATTGTTTGTCTAATTTTTTAATCTAGTACAGAATAAAATTGAGCACTATATATTCCTAAATCCCAATAAAACCGAGACAAACTTATAAACCACAAATAATAGGGCCATGGAACCACAACCATGTAAATTTGAATGTTTTCGCCAAATGAAGTGATTTTCATTGTTTTACAAGTGAAAGTTTGCGTCCAGGTGATAATAGGAGGGGTATGACAAAGTTATGTTACTCAGGGATATATGCAGCTTGTTATAGTAAACAAGTGAACACAAGTTATGCAAGTTACAACTGCTCAGCTTAAGAACATGTAAATGTTGCCCATATTTGAGTTGGACACAAAGGGTGGTGGAAACTCAGATTGAAAAAAGAAAAACAACATTTCAAAACCTTTAAGTATGAAGCGCATGTGATAACTTAATCACTGTGGGTGACTAGATAATTTCCTTTTCTTCTCAAACAGTTGTTTTCAGTTGTTTCGAAATATAGTGCTGAGTATAGTGTACCATGAAACATTACAGAATTACTTGGGGTTGCTCATTTTTATGTTTTTCTAATCTTTCCTAGTAATTTTGGTTACCCCTTTACAAATGGGAAATTGATCAGATTCAGACCTAATACACTGGTAATGAAATTTACATTCTGACTTCCTATTTTTTCTACTCCTACTTTGCTTTTGATCACCAGATGTATATTCCTCTCCGATGTTCCCCTGAATGATTCATAGGAATGCCTGAGTATTCCAAAACATTGTACCACAAAGTATTTTTTTCACTCTACATTCTACAACAATATCCTTACGCATTTACCAAACACAAACAAGTACAGCAGCTAAATATATCCGTTGAATAGTAAATTCACCCCAAAAACAGAGAAATAGGAAGAGAGATAAAAACTAACCTGCATGCCAAACAATCCTTAAGCGAAATTTTAACAGGTTCAGACTTCACCTGCTTGTTGGCAATTGATACCTAAAAGGTGACACTTCCATGTCAAGAAGAAGCTAGCAAGGTATTATGATTGAGATGAAGAGAAGAAAATGAAAATACCTCAGGCTTTTCGTTCTTTTTTAATCCCTTGAGGGAGACTATGCATGCCTGCGATGGAGCGATGAAATCGTTGAGATCTCCAATCCGAAGCGCTGCAGAGAATTTCTCTGACATCTTTAAGAAAGCAGCAGCTAAAGAAGGAACAATCGGAGGTTAAGTTAGGGTTTTGATTAATTAAGCCACAGCCACATATACAAATGCAGTTTGGTTCCCTCGTTAAGTCAAAGAGAAGGAAGAGAGAGATGAAGCAACAAACAACAGAAAGTGCAACTCTGCGAACAGTGAATTTGTTTAGGCATACCCGTACCCGAAAAAATTAATTAAATATTTTTTTTTTGTTCAAAATGAAAACCAAGACCAAGTGTTCCCAAGCAGCAAAAATGAAAATATACTAGAAATTAAAATGATTTCATTTTGCACGTATTTTATTTCCAATCAAATAAAGAAAATCATATCGTAACTCGAGTTCCGCCCCTTCCTGCGGCAGCGGTGGCACGCGGAGGAGCGGCGGAAGCTTGGGGCGCGACCGACCAACCCCCTCAAGCCCTCAACCCAAAGAGAGAGAAGAGAGAAACAAACCGGTCGTCAAAGAGAGAGAGAAACGCGGTCTGGAAGCAGGAAGCAGGAAGCAGGAAGCAGGAAGCGAGCTCGGTCGTGACAAAGCCGGAGGAAGCGAGATCCTTCGTCAGAAAGCGTTCAATCTGTAACCCTAGTGTAAGGGTAGCTGATTTAGAAATTTTAAAACTCAGACAGTACGGATAAGAATATTCGGTAATTAATAAATATAATAATATGACAATGGAATTAATTTTTATTACGGTGACGGTATATATAAATTAATACTGTTTTAAAAATATTCAAATTTATTTAACGAAATTCTTAGACATAGTAGTTATACTTATAAAAGAATTAATATGCTCGGCAAATATTTATTTTTAATGAAATACTTTTGTTGCTCTTATTCTTAATCCGTCCATGTAAAAAAAACATGTAAGTAGGACTGAAAAGTCCAATAAGTTGAATTTGCGGTGCATGGACAAGCGGCGTTACAAGGCACGTGTCACCTAATATGATCCCCGTCAGAATGAAACAACATCAATGTCCCAGATACCGGTGACTCACTCGCACGTTGGAGCAAATTTTTATCAAGTCAATATTAAGATGGTCTTTACAATTTTATATACTAGTAATATGATACGTGCTAGGCAGGGATCCTACGCAAAAAAAAAAATTTAAAAATTAGAAAATAGACAACTATAGGGGGATAGTGATTTAGTTGCTTAGCACAAAATTTGTGACATAAGAATTCCAAAAAGGTGGCCAATTATATGCTGTGATATTTTCTTAAAAATGCTCTCGACTCGAGTATATAATATGTTATTATAGAGTAACACATAATGTACACCAAAGAAAATCAATTCATATGAAACACATAGACCCAACTGGGCAAGCAGGTGATTGATTACACATAATGATAATACATACCAAACAAATTCATACTTCTTTAAGTCATTAAACAACGGTGATAATTTTTCTGGCTTAAGATCAATTTCTTCAACCAGTCATCTTGTTTCGGGGAAGATGCATATGACATGACCATATGTATTTTTTATATATAATTTCAAGCCGTTTGGTAATATGTGTAAATAAATATATGTAAAATAATTTGCACGTTCTAACCATGGCAGCCCAGACTCCGGATATTATATGGCTTACCAAAAAATGGCAGCGTACAAGGCTTACAAGGATGTACCAATCAACGGGTCAGAGTATCTGATGGTAATCTCCAGACTTCGTTACACTCCGTTAATAAAACCTTACAATAAATTAATGATATAAAAAAAACTTAAATATAATTTTTATTTTCATAATTTATCCCTTTTTTTACTTTTAATTTTTGTAATCTTTTATTGTCGTTGTTTCATTCCTAATCTTTCATAACATTTTCAAAATAATTTATGTTATCAACTCTCATTCAAAAGAATTTTATGATGAAATATATATTATATTTATTATATTTCACTTTATTATTGACACGTAGTTAAAATGATTTTAATTTTTATTTAAAATGTACTTTATTGTTACTATTATATCATACTATTCACACGCACTATCTCGGATCATGGAATGTCGCATCTTGGAACTAAATCACCAATCTTCCTTTTCTGATAAGATGTCTTGGTCATTGTTGTTGCGGCAATCATTGTAGGTAGCAATAATTCTGATATCCTAAATCAATTCATGTGGTTCCTCTTGGTCTTGGAGGAAGTGACATAGGTAGCGACGTCCACGAAGTGGTGAACACTCTGGCGACAACTGAGTTCATGCACAATGAGAAAGTAGGCAAGAGTGAAGTAAAACTTTTCTATGGTAAGATGATGGTTAGTGACGATCTTGCAAAAACGATAGTTGTTAAAGACAAATTTGACGTTGTTAACATGTTATATGTTATAATAAGCATAAAATTCAAACATTTATAACAATATTACTAAAAGGAAAGTTAACTAAATAAAACAACTCTTCCAAAGGTATATCACACAACAACTAAAACATAGTACAAATACCACTCAACAAGTTATTTATTTTGGAAATAAAAATGTGATTTACCCACTTTTCTTTATTACTTTTTCAAATACTTCTTGTGTCATGTCAACAATTTTCTTTGCTAATCAATGTTCAATCACTTGGGCAGTAGAAGCCGAGAAAAAAATGGTTGTTTTCTAAACTTGTTTCCATTTTTTTTTTATCTCACTTCAATCACCTTTGTTCTAATGATTATTGAAGTTGTTAAAAGATTTAATTCTACTTTTATTTATCATTTTCTCAATTTTGTGAATTTTATTTTTCTATTTTATTTTTTTTGCAAATTTATTTATTAATATTCAATACTTAATGAAATTGCAAGTGATTGATATTCAACACTTAGTGAAATTCTTATTTATTAATATTTAATACTTAATGAGATTGCAAGTGATTGATATACGTGTGCATGTATGTAGATTTAAGTTATCATGTATTTATCTTAATCGATGTCATTAAATAGATCTTAATCCTTCATTCATAATGATATGAAAGTACAATATCGTATCTAATTAATATAGATGTGTTAATGTGTCATAGTAGTAAAATGTCACATTAATATTGATGTTAAATGTTAAATTAAAAGTAAACTAAAATTACATAATTAAAATTAAAAAAATTATATATCAAAATAAAAAAAATTAAAATAAAGGTATCAGAAGCAAAAGTATAATTAAATAAAAGAAAATTATTTCAAAAGCATAGCTAGACAAATTGTCCAAATACAATTGCAAATTAGGTAAAAACACAAGTAAAAAGAAAATGTGCAACTACATTTTGTGCATATGCAAAATGCATAAGCATGTTCTACACAACTCAATACAAATTGTCAACCAAAATGAATTGAGTTGGCTTAGTCTCTTTCTGAAATTAAGTTAAAAGTTTCTTTTTGATCTATTTTGATGGGTGATTATTTAATTTAGATTGATCCACAAAAATTAAAAATAAAACAATTAATTTAAACATTAACATTTTTTTTTGTCAGCAAAAGAAATTTATTAATAAGTAGGCAATAGAAGTACCTAGAAGTACAAAGGTAATTAACACACTCCAAATGATAAATAAGAAATATCAACCCTCCCAAACAAACATAATAAAATATATTTCAATTACATAAGTAAGTTCTAAGTGAGTTTTGTCATTGACTAAAATAGTACTTGAAGTCCTTTATCAGTTCCTTTAGCCAAACTCATAAAAAAAAACAAAACATCCTACACTACTTTGTTGGAGTCAAAAACTTGACTTTTATATAAAGATGCATTCCTGTGTCTCCAAATACATCAAACCATAGCACACTAAATACTTTTCATCTATCGCTACAACTAGTGTTCCAAGATAGCATAGGGTAATGATAAAAATGTAAGCTAGGTGTACCTGGGAGAATAGACACAACATCAAACCACTATAAGCAAGTTTTCCAGACCTTTTGGGCTTCTTTGCATCCAAATAAGACGTGAGCTATAGATTCCACCTCAACTTTACAAGCAAGACACATAACATCCTCCTCCACAAGTTGGATATTCCTCGTGATAAGGTTATTTCAAAATGGCATCCTGATTAAGAAAACCCTCCATATGCAAATAGCTACTTTCATAGGAACTTTAGTGTTCCACACATCCACAAAAAGATCTAGATGTTGCGACCCAAAGGTCAAACTAAGAAGCTCCGAGTAATCCATCTTAACTGAGAAATTGCTCGACACATCACCAAGCCAAAACCAAGTATCTTTCATTGTTCTACTGACAACCACTTCCTCTAGGTTTTTTTGAAGTTTTTCAAACATCTCCATTTCCCCACATGAACCATTCTCTCCTCCAAAAAAGATTTCAGTGCCAACTCATGTCCCTCCAAAAACCACACTCTAAGATAGTCAGGTCTTTGTTTTTCGAATTTAGAAACAGTCTTAAATATTTCAATCTAAGACTCTTTCCTTTACACTGAGCATTTTCCCACATTTTGAACCTTTTCCCAACTCCTTTTTTCCAAAGTATCAAATTTTTGAACTAAACTTGATCATCAATCAAATCACAAAATTTCTTTAGATCCCTCCATCAAATAAAATTAGAGTTATTGTTCTGTTCCACTAAAAGATTTCTCCACCCACCATATTTAGATTCCAATAATAAAATCCAAGGCATATCTTTTTTATGTAAAAGGTTCCAACCCCATTTTGCCAACAAAGCTTCATTAAATCTTAATGTTCTTTACTTCCAAACCTCCTCGTTCTTTCAGTTTGTATAGACATTTTCCCAACATGCCCAAGTAATCTTCTTAGATTCTCCTACATTTCCCCACAAGAATCTTCTTTGAGTTGTTATGATATTTGCTATCACTTTCTTTGGGATCTTGAAGAAAGACATGAAGAAGAGAGGAATAGATGATAAGACCAAGTTAATCAAGCAAACTCTACCGCCTATTGATAAATTTTGATATTTCCACCTAACAAACTTCTTTTCCACCTTCTCCACCATCCGGTTCCAAGTTCTATAAAGATTTGCCCCAATTAATATCCCAAGTTAAATAAATGGAAACGATAAGATTTTACAATTCAAAATATTTTATAATTCAAACATTAACATAATATTATAATTATAACAATCTTTTCATATTTGTCTCCTCACAAATATTTTTTTATAGAAATTATCATTATAAGTTTAGTTGATTTTGTCACCATTTTTTTTAAACATCACAAATGACTATAAAGTTTATAAAATATTAGATTGAATAAATTAATATTTATCTAAACAAATTATTACAATATTAAAAAAATCATTTTCACATTTCAATTTAATTCAATCTATTTTTATGATTTCAAATTATCCATCTATTTGAATTTGTAAGAAATCACATTCAACTCTAATCCACTAAATGTATGTTTATATTGACCTTATTTTCTTTAAATGCAATAAAAATTACGAGATTGAATTTCCTTTCTACACGTATTGGAAAATGATAAATTCATCTTCATCTTCAATTTCAATTTCATTTTTGTTACTAATTGAGGAATTAAATTTGCTTTCTCTATTGTTATCTCAAACTACATTATTGGTTTATTGAAACACAACCTAAGTAACACAAGTTGAAGATTAAATCATATAATTCAACCCAATTGGCAAGTTAAATTGATTGAGCTGTATATTCGATCCATTTTTACATTTCTATTTAAACTCCTTTCTTCTTTCAAGTAAAGAAAAGTCCTGAAAGTGTCCCATTGATTTTTTTCTCTCTTGCGTTTACGAAACATTAGGGTTACCATAAATGTTTATGATTGTGTCACATGGCAGGATAAGACATTCCATAAGAATATACATTGATGAAAAATATTTTGATACACACGCACCTCACAAAACACCCGTCACGTCACTGAGATATCTTTGAATTATATTTCCCTACGTCTATGATTATTGATTACAGAAAATTAGGGAAAAATGCTTATAGATTAATGCAAAGAAAGATATAAATAAATAAATAAATGAATTAGAATTACACTATCACTGAACAGTGAACACGTAGTCTAAACACCAGTTTGCAGTTCCACGTCGCATCAAAAAATCCGGAAATTAATTAAAAAAGTAAATAGAAAGTGATTTTGGAATTGGAAAATGAAGAGAGAGAAAGAGGTTGCAGTTGCAGAGACGCAGTTGGAAGGTTGCGAGTGATGATATACATAGTGTGGCCGTGGTGAAATAGGGGAAGAGGTAGCTTTGCGTTGCAATGAGTACCGAAAAGACTCCTTCATCAGCTTCTTCTTCGAGTAGCTACGTTTTCTGCAAGGGCTTCAATGGCCTCGACAAGGTTCTTCTCCGCGACGCTCGTGGTAGCTCCGCTGAGGTCACTTTCCTCCTACTTCTGCAATTTCTTTATCTGTTTGCTTTTCTCTCTCATTCTCACCGGATACTGCTTGATCCACATATTCGCCTTTAGATTCTCGACTTTTTAATTTTTATATAGTTTCGTCGCCATTGTCGCTTGGGGAGTGCTGATCTCGCGACCTTTCTTTCGATCGAGATTTGTCATTGACTAGGATATTTTGATCTGGAAGGAGTGTTTATCAGCATTTTGATTTATCTTTTAGGCTAATTTTCGGTGGAATAAGTTCTTCCAGATGAGCGGCGTGCATTTCGTGTTTGATTTCACTGCTTTTGCTTCGGTTTTGAAGTGGCAAATCACTTGTGCTGGTTCTGGCTCCGATTAGGTTTCGTTTCTTTGTTTGTGATTTTCAGGTGTACTTGTACGGTGGTCACGTGACTTCTTGGAAGAATGAGCATGCCGAGGAATTGCTCTTTCTCAGTAGCAAGGTACAGTATGAAACATATTTGGATATTAGTTTCTCAGTGTGTTAATTTAGTTGGCTCATTTTCCTCCACTGCATGTCATGATGAGGGACTGATAAACTTCAGATCTCAATGAGGTTGTAAAATTAAAAAATCATTTTGGTTTGAAAACATGCATAGGTTTAGTGCAAGATTTTACTGAAAAACTGTAAGATTTTTCTGAAGTTCTGCATCCTAATTTGCTTTTAATATTAATCCTAATGGCCCAACACCCGGCATTATTTGCTGACTACAGTATTACTAAATAAATGCTTTTATTTTTTTATTGCAAATATGATGCTCCTAATTTGATTGCAAAGATCTCAACTGCTGGTCATCTTGTGATATAAGCTGCTCAATGAAAATGACAGAAGTGGTAACATGAGAGGCTTATCAATATGGCTAAACAAATTTTCTAACAACAATTTGTTCAAGCTATCCTTTGGCTTAGATTTTGGCATTCTCTTGCCTTCGTGAACTCATTTTGTCTCATCTGTTTCCAAATATTTGTGGAGTTTGATTGTAATGTACTTGCTTACTCTGCAACATTGCTTAGTCATTAAGAACCAGCGTTTTACTTGAAATTTAATATTCTGGTTGTTGTCAAAGCCAAATACATTGACCTGTTGTATTGTGGAACATGGATCCATTAGGTTCTTATGAAGTGAGTGCCAAACTCCATATAAATATTTTTTTAACCGGCATCCTAGATAGATAAATAACTGCTGGTAGGAATGATTCAATTTGTCACCACCTTCTGGAACTCATCATTTTATCAATGTTATCAACTTGTTCACTAACAGAGAGAATTCTGCATGGCTGCACAGCATGCCTTGTTTATAGAACTTGGACTGTTAGCATGTAATAATCTTGTTGTATCATCCAGGAAGTAATTTGTACCAATAATCGTTAGCTTAAACTTATTGAGCTTGAGTGACATCCTTTGTTTTATTTTCTGAAACAATCATCAGCTTATTCTAATGCACCTGTTGGTGCCATACTGCTACCCAAGTTTACTAGAAGGACATTAAAATTTGCAACCACTCCTCTTTTTCCATTGTGGTATGGCTGTTCTCTATTAAAGTCATCTTTATCCAGTTATTATAACTACTATTTTAGACTGCATTGCACATGATAAATATTTTTTTATATAATTAAATTCATAATAAATAAATAAATTTTAATATAAATATTATATTCTAATTAAAATTTATTATAAATAAATACCTTTGAATGTATAAATTATATTTAGGATTTACAATGAATAATTTAAATTGTAATATAAGGATGCTTTTAACTATGGAGAATTTCTTAAAAAACAAAACTATTGGATTTTAATTTAAAGATAAAGATAAAAAAAAGATAGATTGAAAAGAATACCTGGTTATTGGTTAAGAGGATCAAGTACATAAATAAGGAGAATAGTTAGAGGGAATCATTTTTTGCTATTTACGAGAGTAGTGTGTGAAATATACATCCAAAGAAAAGAGGAGAGAATCTTGAGATTGTCTAACTGAGAGGGGGGAGAGTGAGAGTTATATATTCTAATTTATAATGAGTAGATTCTGTCTACCGAAGCCTTAGTGGCACTGAATGATCTGACTTCTGAAAAAAAAATGGTTTATCTGTAGTTTATTTTCTAATCTTAATATCTCAACTGTCTATGAAATGGTTTTTGAACAGTGATGTATTTTGAGATTTGAAGTATTTGTTAATTAATGCTTAATCATTTTTCGTTTATATATATTGGAGACGATTCACTACCCAAAGTATTTCGGCGTGTTTGATTTGGCATTTAAAATCTTTAAACGCCCGTTCAACTTAAGGCAAGACCTTTCTTGCTTCTCAAATTTTGCTTTGGAAAGTGGGAAATCATGGTTACGTTTTTTTAAACGCGTAACCAAACATGCGCTTTGTGTCCCGAAGTTGGCTTGGAAATCCATATGTTTCCACTTTATATTTTGCTTAGAATTTCAAAATATTTAAATGTTTGAGTCCCTTTTTATCAATATTTGCTCAATAGCAGTAAATCTTTTCCACTCAAAGGGAAGGTTTTTTTCTCTGGGATAACTGGAGTTAGTGAAAATTATTTTAATATGCTCTACTAATGAGATTATAATTTTCAAAATTTTCAACTCTACCAGTGAGACTCTGATCCATCTTGTTTTATTAATATTATGCACTTGTGCAGGCTATATTTAAACCTCCAAAGGCAATTCGTGGAGGGATCCCAATATGTTTTCCCCAAGTATGTACTTGTATTATTAATATCTCTGTTTTTCATAATTGCTTTCATCATGATAATACTTGCTTTGGAAGGAAAATAGGTAGAAATTGGAGGAGGAAGCAATGAATCATGTGAAGGGAAATATTTGATAGCTCATGAAATGATAAACTTGTGTTCTACATTCATTAAATTATAATGTTGTGATTTGTGAAGATAAACCTCATTATTATATTTCTGCCAGAACAATAAAAGCCTAATATCATATCTCAATTGTCAAAAAATTTCATTTCTAATTGAAGAATAATCTGATGCAAGACCCATCAAAACCTTATTCTAGTTTTTGAAAAACTCTGATATTAGCTATAATCCAAAGTCAGTGATGTAGGACACAGGAAGTATTACAAAAATTTCATAGATTGGGGTTAGGATGTCAAATATAGAAAAACATGGGGAGGGGGTATTTTTAGTGAGGATAATTTGCCCCAGCTGTATGTATGATAGGTTTTGGATTTGGTGAGGTTTAGAACAAATTCAAGCAGGTATTCCAAATAATTTGTTGGTGATAGGATTAATAATAGGGCAGGGCAATGTGGAACTGGAAAAAAAAAAAAATTTAAGATGGCAAAGGAAAGAAAATCAGGCCTACATTTGATTGCATTGCACTACTAAGAGAGCATTTTGCAACCATAACTCATAAAAATCTGTTTCTTTTTTTTATCTGATTACATTACTTAGACTATCAAAAGTTGGATACTAGGAGTCTAGGATGACTGCAATTAAGGCTCAAGGTAAATAACTGGTCTCTAATAAGAACAATTAACAGTCCAAATAACTGAAAAAGATTAAAGAAAAGCCGATAGATAGATTAGCAGAACCACATCCCCCCTCCCAAAATATAACAGCAAAATCAGATGTGGTTTTAACTGTAGAAATCAGTGTTATAATTAGAAGTGACACCAAAACAAGGAGATTCTATATGTTTGAATCTTATAGATTTACCGCTCTCAATCACACAGAATCTGCAATCACACTGAGATCCTCATATTAATAAAAAAACAATTAGAATCATTGGGTGATTTGAATATCATTGCAATTTGTAAATCCCCTCAACTCCAATTTGCACTGCTATTCTAATCAGATCCCAGATTCTCTCTTTGTAGTTTGGAAGCCTCGGTACTCTCGACCAGCATGGATTTGCTAGAAACCGGTTCTGGACCATTGATGATTGCCCTCCTCCTTTTCCAACAAATACTCTGAATAAAGCCTTTGTTGATTTGATTCTTAAACCCACTGAAGATGACATCAAGATTTGGCCTCACAGGTATATATAGCAACATTCAACATTTTTAGCCTATACTTATGGAACATTCTCTTAACTAGTATTTTTTTACTGTGTTTCTATTTACTACTTTTATTTCATAGTTTGAACTGTTTGCATTATATTTCTTTCTGACATCATATGCCATTTGTTTTTGCATTAGTTTTGAATTTCGACTCAGAGTGGCTCTTGGACCTGGAGGAGATCTGATGTTGACATCTCGGATCAGGAACACTAACATTGATGGGAAGCCATTTTCATTCACATTTGCTTATCATACATATTTCTCTGTGTCTGATATAAGGCAAGTGCGTGAAAGTTGAAATATGTTTAATCTCACACTTCAAGATGAGGTTTTGTATTATTGTGCATGTATAATGTATTACTAAATTTTGTATTTCGGATTTGGTTGAGAACCTGTTCAAGGTCAACTCATAGAACAAATGAATAGATTTGTGCAATCTTATCATGTAGGTATAAGTTTGTTTTCCTGACTTAATATGTGAAATCTATTCCTTGTGAAATATTCAGGTTTAGCTAAATTTTTTGGTCAAATCAAAACCTTTTTTTTTGTTGATTGTATACCAATATCTTTTGTTTTCTTCATTTTATCTACATATTTAACTCTTTTAATGGGCCTTTATTTTGGCTTATGGTCAGTTGTGATTTTTTTTTTGTTGGGACTTGGGGGGCATACTTTTAGGCTGCAATTTTGAATTGCATTTAACTAGTTTGTTTGCTTGTATTCAGTGAAGTGCGGGTAGAGGGATTAGAGACAATGGATTATCTTGACAACTTGCAGAAAAAGGAACGCTTTACTGAACAGGGAGATGCTTTAACATTTGAATCAGAAGTAATTCATATACCCTATTCTACTTTGCTTTAATAAATACAGATGTGGGTATTACAATAAATATGCCGTAAGTAATGAAATATGTCGATTTCTGTGAAATGAAGCTTCCAGGATTTTTATGATAAATTGAATTAATTGTTTTGAATAAAATACGGGCTTGTATATTTTTTAGTTTTAAGGGTTGTATATTTAAATACTATTAATTTTTGAACCAAGATAAAAAAAGGAACTTTTTTAATTAAAGGAAGGAAATGACTGGCTTGGTTAAATAGAGTACAGGCCAATTTATAGATCTTTAGTATATTTTTTTTTTCTTTTGTTGCTCATTTTAATTCAGGCGAAAAGTGGGCCATTAGCACCCTTGCCAAAAGAATATTTTCCATTTGGCTGCTGCTTTTTTAATCATGTATGGATGAAGAAAGGCAGTGTCTGTCTAGCAAGCTATTTTCTATTCTTTATTCATACAAACTAATGGACAGTTGCTTCCTGCACCACCAAAAGTCTCACTTTTTTCCTTTTTTACTTTTCCTGTAACACGGATGGCAACTGCCAGCATGTGTTGGTTAACCATCCATATATTGGTCTGGGTTTTGACTACTTTACTTGACCCATATCTGAAACATTTTTGCACCAAAATATAATAAAAAAGAAAGAAGGACATCTACTTGTATTGTTGTGCCCAATCTGTAGTAATATGAGACACACCTAGGCACATTTGTGTAACCTGTCCTGATGTATTGTCATTTCATATGCTTTGATGAGTTGAAACTGACACTTCACTTTCTTTGGATGATAGGTTGATAAGGTATATCTCAGCACCCCTACAAAGATTGCGATTCTTGATCATGAGAAAAAGAGAACATTTGTATTACGTAAAGATGGTCTTCCTGATGCTGGTGATTACTATCAGATTCATCTTGTGTACTTAGTTTGTTATGTGGGACTCTATAGTTCGAAGCTATATAATTTAAGAATATAAAAAAAATGTTCTTTGTGAATGTGTAAATAACGAATGGAAGAACATAGCTTAAGGTACTTATCTGTTTTCATCTTGTCTGAATTTTTCCTGTTAAACTCAAGGGGTTATTAAACTTTTTTTCCTTAGAAATAAGTAACTTCCCATCCCACATTTAAGAAACCTTCTCCAATAGTTGGTATACCTAACGGGTGTTGCTTTTGGATTGGACATCGGGAATCATTTTCACTGCCGAAACTTTTTTTTTTCTTTCTCATTTGTTATTTATCTATGCAGTGGTGTGGAATCCTTGGGATAAAAAAGCAAAGGCTATGTCTGATTTCGGTGATGATGAGTATAAGCATATGCTTTGTGTAGAGGCTGCTGCTATTGAAAAGCCTATCACTTTGAAACCTGGCGAGGAATGGAAGGGAAGACTGGAACTTTCAACAGTTCCTTCTAGTTATTGTAGTGGGCAGCTTGATCCCCGAAGAGTTCTTCAAGGAAGCTGAAAGAACTTCGTCTGTGTTCTGTGTCCTGTACAGGTAATAATTGCATAATAATATATTTATTTCAATTGTATTTTAGCACTATCTTGCAAAATAAATGAATCAAGTATTGGGGTTATTATATGGTACTTGCATACTCTACAATGATGAGATATTGTCCGCTTTGGGCCTTAGTCCTCACGGTTTTTGCTTTTGATCATTATCCAAAAGGCCTCTCAATCATTGAAATATGTTTGTATTATATAAATTGTTATTTCTTGTCTTATTTTATCGATGTGAGACTTGTTTGTATCCCAACATCAAGTGACAGTGAGTTGCATCGTTTATTCTACTTCTACCTTGAAATTCAGAATGTATTAGAAAATAGAAAGGGAACTGTGCTGTCACTATGTATATGGCTTCAACCAGGTTTGAGGAGAAATCATTCTCCGTTTTTTGTCATGCGAAATGATTTTTTTGGTACCATGAATCTACAAAGAAGGTTTAAGAAATAGAACTCTGTATGTCGTGTATTCGCATTGAAGTTTGGTATTCGATTAGTTATTCATACCGGATGATGTTATAACTCTAAACTCTGGTTTATCAAAATTTGGCTTTCATATTAGACCAAGTTTGATTCCTGTTCTTGATACTTGAGACCTGATTAGCTTTAGATTGGTCTACCGTTAGTTCTTGTCTTAGATTGCTTAGTTGTCCTTTGAGTATTCTGTCATCCACATACACATCACATGTTGATACAGTTCGATGTTTCACTAATCATTTAGGAAATATATATCCGCAGGTAGCTTTGTGGCCCACAGCAATGAAATATAGAAGGAAAGTGTCTCCAAGCAATTTTTCACCTTCATGTTGGACCGATGAACTCGTGTACCGAGTTTTGTTAAATAATATTTTCCTGTAACAGATGAATAGTTCGATCATAATACAAGTATAAGTAGAATGGCCCAATTATATATGGTAAATCGAAATCACAACCTCCAATATTAACGGATTTTCATGATGGGTTGAATGGCTCAGACCAGGGGGATTAATTTTAAATCCCCAGTTGTTTGGGTTCTCAGATCCTATAAAATGTTTACTTTTACATTGTTTTGAAAGCTTTGTTTTTACATGTAGACAATGAATGCATCCTTCAGTATTTGAATCATAGGATCATTTTACAACGCCACAAGTTGGCCAGTATGTCTTAAGTCGTTGCCGCAATCTACACTCTAGTAGTATATCATAACAAATTGTCATGAGTATGCAACTTGTAGCATTGTAAAGGATTTGACAACAGCGGGACTGCTCAGTTATGTGAAATATATATAGGCCACTGTTATATGATTATCTTTTACTGCCATTTTTTAGGATCATGGGACTCCTTCGGCCTGGCTTGGAATGGAGGGTGGTTGCAAAGAGTTGTCGCCATCGTGGTGAGGGAGAAGGGGCAATCAAGGTCAAATCGAGAAAATAAAGGGGGGGAAAATCCTAGGCGTCCATTTAAAATTTAATATATCTAAAAGTGAAAAAATAGTTTCCCACGGTAAGAGATATGTGCTTTCTTACCCTAGTTAGCATTTTGTTTCACATGTAATAAAGCTAAAAATTAATGAAAGAAAATGGGTTATTAATCCTTTTCTATTCATGCTATCGGCAAAATTTTCTTACTTAATTTACCATGTAATATAAATTTGGAATTTTGAGTTGTCTCCTGAACTCTTGATAACTATTTAATTTGGTTTTTTAAAAATTAAACGAAGTATGTTTTTTTTTGGGTGCTATGTTGTCTCTCATTTTAATAAATCAAACGAATCATTAATCTCTTTATAATCCTTGTGTATGAATAAGATTGTTTATACTTGCCTCATTTTACTAGCAACTGAATTTGGAGGACTGTATTTTTATTATGTTAAAAAATGTTCTTACCAAGTCTTATTATGTCATTTGAGGCTTAATAAAGCTTACGTTGTATGGATAGAAGAAATAAGTTTATTTTATAATCATCAGATAAAGTTGAATGTTACATATAGCCTTACCAATCTATTTTTGTAAGTATTTTAAAAAGTAAAATATAATTATAATTATTAATCAAAAACTAATAATAAAAAGTTACCTGTAAATTAACAACAATAAAATCTACTGTAAGTCTGTAATGATGTTTGTAATACAAACAACTTTGAAGCTAACTGTATTTTGACCCATTATAAAAAAAGAAAATTAACAAATAATTTTAAATTAAATTTGAAACATAAATTTCGCCAATTACTTTAATATTTCTGGACATCAACTTTAGTTTCCAAACAAGTATCAAGGATCAAAATGAAGGTGATACATGATAGTACGACGCAGGTTGATAATGATATTGATATCTCTTGGTCGCAAGTCTATCCAACTCCGATGCGGTAACATAGTTATATATACGTTAGCAAATTGCTTCTTTAAGCTAATAATATCTTTGACATATTAATTTGTTGATCGTTTATATTTGAATAATTACAATTTCCAGTAGCTGGTCTAGCCTGTACTGTTGCCTTGCGCTGTCATGTTCCTGGATTGGAGAGAAAATGCTAGGTTATGGCTCATTATCATTCTTGGAAATAATGACTAAGAATGAGACATGTCCCTAGTAAGCTAAAGGGTTTGTAAGGAAGTTTTTATAGACTTAGTAATTATTTTTAATTTACATTTTTCGGTGATATATATATATATATATATATATATATATATA